ATAAACTGGCCAAATTTTATATTCCTTGTTGCTGCTCGAATCCATTGCATTCCATGGAAAAATGTTAAATATATTGATAAAATATATGCATATATGTTGAATTAAAATGCAGAACACAATGTTTTTCATTTAAATAATTTATTGTTAATTTAATAACTTCTATTAATATAATAAATAATTAATCAATTAATTAATCAATTGTGATGCCAGAGCAACCATAGGCAATTATGTTGGTCAAACTTTATATTAGGTGTCTTTAATGTTATGCACTTAATTAAAATTTAAAGCATGTGGAAGATGTGGAACATTTAAAGAATGTTATTGTGTTGTTCTGAGAAAGACAGTTTATGAATATCATATGTGAATCTTGAAATAATTTTTTATCAAACTGTAGTTTAAGATGCATATTTGCAAAAAATATATATATTTTTTTAAATCAATCTAAATTTTAAGCTAAACAATATTTGTAATTATTTGTGAAATTTACTAGCAATTTCTGAGTAAGATTGTTTCTACATATTTTTTTTCAGTGTAGTTAAAACACCTAGTATAAAGTAAAGTTGTTTTATTTACAGCTTCAAGGCAGAATATTTCTGATTGCAGTTTAGCATTAATATTTGAAGAGTTTAATCAGTGAAGTTGTCATATACAGTGGTAAAAGGCATGTAAGTAAAACAAACTGCACACAACTCAAACAGAAATAAAACAATTCATGGCCCTTGTAAGCACTACTTAGGGCAGTATTGCTTTTTCAGGATTAACAATAAAGTAATTAACTTTTCTTTACTCCAGCCATTTCTTCTGCTCCTCACTGAATTTTCTAGCCCATTTTTGCGTCATCTCTAAATAAACTGTAGGTTTATGAGGAAGGTAGTCAAGATACACAGTTTTACCCCATGTCTTTGGGATGGCCTCTTCGATTTGGGTTCCTTCATGCCATTCATTGAATGAAGTTATAGAGATGATCTGTGGCCTTGCCTCCACAGCCGCATTAAAAGAGGTCTCGTAATACTTGCCATTAATGCGGTTCCTTGTATTCTGGGAGTTCCAGGGTCTAATGCTAGTGTCGATATAACCTGGCCCTACACTTGGAACAAATACCAAGTCATTGTAGTCACAGAAGGTTTTAATGGATCTCCAGTTGTGATGTGAGGAGCCATAAGTAAAGCCGTTGGTCGCAAAATACGTGTAGAGTCCATCAAATCCAGCAGTCTGTATGTCCTTCTTATGCCTTTCTTCCACAAGAAGAGCAATGAAGATGCCATCATACGGTGTGTTCCTAATTGTCGATATACCATTTGGCTTTAGAAGTTGTGCCCAAACATCTGGAGTTTGCAAGTAGGAGTCATATACATAATACAGTGGAAGAAATTTGCCATTGCTTGTTTTGTATCTATAAAAAGCAGGATGGTTTCCATATCTGTAAAATACAATGTACAATAAGTGCTATTAAACACATATCTGTGGATTGATTTTATTTATTTATTATTCCATTGAACTAGAGAACAATTAGAGTGAATGGGTGCCGTCAGAATGAGAGTTCAAACAGCTGATAAAAACATCACAATAATCCACAAGTAATCTACATGACTCCAGTCCATCAATTAACGTCCTGTGATGCGGATTCATGTTTGTAATAAACAAACATTATTATTTGTAAGAAATTACGTTTTTAACATCAACTCATTGCTTCTGGCTAAAATACGAGTCCTCTATCCATAATATTGTTTCTCCAGTGAATAGTTGATGTTAAAAATGTCATTTCTTATAAATAATAATGTTTGTTTATTACAAACATGAATCTTTCCGCATCACAGGACGTTAATTGATGTACTGGAGTCGTGTGGATTACTTGTGGATTATTGTGATGTTTTTATTAGCTGTTTAAACTCTCATTCTGACGGCACCCATCCACTGGTGAGCATTTGATGTAATGCTAAACCTGTTCTTATGAAGAAACAAATGCATCCACATTTTGGATGGTCTGAGGTTAAATACATTGTCAGCAAATTTTCATTTTTGTATGAAATATTCCTTTAATATTAACCTACATTTAGTAAATAGTAAATCTCCATCACCTGCTTTCAGATGGAGCGGTTTGTAAGTATGAATGGCTAGAGATTAATGAAATGCATCAAACATACCTCTCCACAATATATTTTATATTTTCACGCATATTTGCATCATCTCGTCCTTTGTATGGTTCAATATGAAAAACAACCTGTCAGAGACAATAAAAAAAATGCATGAGACACAAAGGCAAAGACTATGAATTTCAAACCTCCATCTATATCTATACCACCTTCAACTGATATTTGTCAGCTGCATCCAGAACCAAAGGCAGCAAATTATCAATTTCTTCACCATTGTCGTCATTCATACTATGTGGATACCACGAAACAGCTAGAACACCTGAAACAGGCAAAAAATATTCAGTAGATAGAGAAACTATTGTAAATAAAAATAATGTATATGTTTCAAAGAGGCTTCTTACCAACCGCAGCTGTTCTCAGCTGTCGCATGTGTTCCTCTAAAACCAATGGATCTCTGGAGCTGTATGGACCTAGTGCAGGGTAGAAATTGGCCCCAATGTCTTCAGGAGGCTGGTGTCGTCCTGATGGATAACCTGAGGCCACTTTGGGGTCCCAGTGTGGTAAGAGTGAATGATCCCAGTGAAAATATTTTCCATTAAACTGCGGGTTCCCATACCACACATAGTAGAAGGCGTGCACATTGTAATTTGGCTCAGGAAAATCTTGCATTTTGTTCTCCATTCTATCAGCTTTCTCTGCTGGTATCATCTGCGCAGGTTTAGCGGATACAACAACGTTGTTATCTTGTTCCATTTGTCTTGAGGGTGGAATAAGTCTTAATGCAAACTGACTGCCAAAATGATTATCCTCAGGGCTCAGAGACTTTAGGATGACTGTTATAATAAACACAGCCAAGGCTAAAGCAATAAGTGCACAACATGATTTCCGCCTAAACCGTGCCATTACTCTGGAGGTTGGTTAAAGTCCATTCCCCCGAAGATGTTCAGTCAATGGTGGAACAAAATGTTAATTGAAACCCTCAAGGTTCATTCTTCATCTTCAAGCTTCTACTAGAATAGCTGTAAAAAATAATAATAATAATAATAAATAGCTCACTTAAACAAATAGATACATTTTTAGAGAGCTTTTTATATATTACTAGTATTTGTTTATATAAATAAAAAATAAATAAACGTATAAATAAAACTCACAGTCTGTAAAAAGACAGTAGGTCATATAAAGACACGTACATTTAGTTGCACAACTTTATACTAAGCATTAACTTTCAGGCTATGCTGCTTTTTACACTAAGTACAAATGCAGTAAGATAAAAGGTCAATCTTAATTGTTTGTTATTGCTTTTTTTTAAATGGCTAGAATCTATTTCAACATTCAACATAGCATTTAAATAGTTATTAAATGGAACCTATTAAAATAATCAACACATTATCCATAAAAAAATCAATAAATTGTTGTTACAAATGATTCACATTTTTAGAGCTAAAACAACAACCATTGAACACTTATCACAAAATCTCATGGAAAAGAGGTACATGGTACAGTTATTTAACTCTGACATGTGTAACTGAGACTGAAATTAAACATTCACATCACTGTATAATTATTGCATTTAAAAAAAAATATGCAGCGTCATACCTCTGTTGACAGACATCAAGTGATACATCTTTTGAATGAAAACAGAATATATCTGACACTTTAATCTAACGCCGGAAGTATTTGTGACCAGAATTTTCTTCTGTCTTGTTTATTCGGCAATTGTAGATATGAGCGAGTTTTACTGCGATCTACTGGACGGGAGGCAAATTTACAAATCCTACTATGAAGAAGGCTGAACTCATGAATAATAATAAGGTAGCGTTTACGCTCCTCGGCGAACGGCCAATCACGAATCCTGATGAATATTCATGAGCCAGGCATTCTCCATAGTAGCGTTCGTAACTTCGTAGATCGAAGAGCTGTGAAAACCAACCCTCCCTGACAGCTGTCAGACGGCGGTTGATAGTAATCCATCGCCTCTTTCATTCATTGTCTGTTACAGTTTGCATCAGCTAAGTTCAATTTTCATTTCCTTTCACGTTTTCCTTGAGAGCCAAATAAATAAGCGCGATATAAGTTCAATTGCGGCTTACATGTATTGTCACATACAGAATAGTATGGTACAGAAAATGCCTACAGCAATATATCGTTGTAGTTTTACCCCTACACACAAGATTTTTCGTGTTTGTCATTTTTATTAATTAAAATTAGCCTAATTTGAGGTTTGACATTTTCAATAGTCGCATTTTCATTCGCAGCCATGAGGTGGCACTGTTTGCATTAAAATGAACTGGTTGGGAGGGAAGAGCCTGGAAGACTACAAGGCTACACGTTGTGTTTATGCAGTTTTCTGAATGCATGCTTGAAAATGTATATGTTCATATTGAGCATATACATAAGGACAGCCTTTCTCGTGAATTTCCACAAGATGGCATCAATAACATGAAATAAAATAATATTTGGCTAATAAGTCAAATTAAAATGATGGAGTTTGGGGTCTGTACACCTCAAAAATAAAAGGAACAATAAATTCTAGGCAATCCCACTTTTAAATCTAGCTTATTGGAAGCAGTTTAGACTATATATATATATATATATACATATATATATATACATACACTCCTCTGTCAACACTGAGCTGCTTTAGAACTGACAATCAATCCCTGGTGTTTGAAATGACTTCAGTGACTCAAACAAAGCTGGAAAGCAATCATTTCTAAAGTGCACCATGCACACACTGTGACAGGTTGCACTGATGCTTTGTGAGGACGGATGCAGAGCTGAGGCATTTTTCGCATCTTAAGGTCTCCATTTTCTGCGATAAAGAGGACTTTGATGTCAGTGCCTTTGAGAATCTGTCAGTTATTTTGCAATTTAGAGGAGGCGCGTGCTGGAAATGCCACAATCAGCAAAGAGCAAAGCAAAAGCACGCGGTCTCGAATGTAACTCAACATAGACCGGAGACTGAACACACCGTTCCTCCGGCTTCAGAGAAAACAATAACCCTGCACGCTCCTCCAGCTGCTAGCGAAACGCGAAGAAAGAGACCATGTGAAGGCGTCTTGCAGAACATCTTCGTGCGGGAACGAGTGAAAGTTTAGGTGAGTGACCAAGCCGCCTGGGGTGCCGCTCGTTACAGTTTATGTGTGCTTTGGTTTGAGCGTCTTGTTGTTTGTGTAAGTTGTTTGTGGTCTATGCCTCGCGTAGAAGAGGCAATGTCTCAGCTCAGACAGAACGCTTATGTCAACGTTTTTGGATGTCAGTGCAGCTCCTCTGACTGACTGTACATTTTTAGGTCTGCAGGTTAGTGCTGCATTTAGTCTCTGGTACTGTAGATGACAGGTACAATTATGGGTTGGACCGGATGCATTCTGACTGAGACGATGGGAAACAGGGATTCAGCAAGACCATGTTTAATACCTTTGTGTGTAATATTTTGTGTTTTCATCCCTCTCAAACATCTATTTATCTATCTTCTAATTACCAAAGGCAAAATGAAAAAAAAAAAAATCATCCCAGGGTTATAGTTAACTAAAAACAAACACACAAAAAGATTTACTTGAAATAAAGTGGACATTAACTAAAGTAAAATATAAATATATAAAATAAAAAAAATCACTTAACTACCAAGGCCATACCTCTCATTTCCATATTTTTAGCTTGATGTCCTAACATAAATAAAATAATTATAAAAACAATTAATTGTTTTGAATACAACACACACACACACATATATATATATATATATATATCAAAAATACAGTTACTCAAATGTTAACAAAAATAAAATTAAATATTTTTGAAAATGTAATATATTAATAAAAACTATAATAGTATATATCTAGCTATCATCTTAGACAATACAGTATATATAAATTCATAGAAACCAGTTTGAAAATTTAAGTCAATAACAATTCAATCAAATTTTTCTCAGTGTTGGTGTTACTCCGTTTTGACTTTGTGGGAGTTTTGACCGAGCACTTGCCTAATAAGCTGTATTTAAAAGTGGGCTAATGCTGATGTTAATAAACCATGAATTATCTAGAAATGCTCAGGTCTTTAAATAGAGGTGTGATGACTTTGGAGGAAGTAAAGCTGGCAAAGATCAACTGATAACCAAGCCTTTGGTACAATGAAAACATAAATCAAGAAATAATAGACTTGATTGTTCCTAAACGTTTCTTATATTAGGAATTTGTTTCAAAGTAGGGATGTTGAAACATAATTTTAAAAAAAAAGTAGAGGAATTGCAGCACTATGTTGTAATGAAAGAAGAAGTGTGAGAGGGCATTGGTTGGTGGCTTTGTGAATCTTTACAGTCACGCTGCCAAGTTTAGCTTGTGTTTGTTGCTTTCTTATTACTATATTTTGAATTGGACCAGTTTAAAAACACTTATCCTACAAAATCTCTTCTGAAATATCATCGTTTATCCTATCTCTTTTATAACTTATGAAACCAGTTGCCTTGCACCACAGACCCAGATTTGATGTGTTTTAGATTAAGCAGGGAAGGTAAAGATATGGTTAATGGGTGGATGAGGTGTTTGTGGTTTACATCCTGTGAGATGAGATGTTCACAGGTCTTTGTGGTGCAGCATATAGAGTAGCTAATTTCCTGTGCTCATTGTAGAAATATTCAGATTGACTATGGATAGAAAATCCACATTTACCTTTTAACTTAAATTAGCTCATTCTTTAACACTTTTGAACATCTTACATGCATCTTTATTTAGAGCTGTGACCTTAGTGTGGTAATATCGTGAGAAATCATGGTCTGAATGTGATAATGAGGTTCAACTGCACTGCAGTAACGATTACAGATGTTCAGTGCTCTCAGGATCTTTCTAACCGTAAAAGATTTGTCTTGAGACTTGAGTATGCTTTAGTGTTCGTATCTCTAAAAAGTGTTTAGCATGTCAAATCAATGGCCCGTGACTAATCAATGCTTCGTCTTCACTATGGACTGTGCAGAAACATCTCCTTAGTCATGTAACAGTGGTTTGTTCTTCTGATGAAAGCACCTGTTTTGTCAGCAGTTGTGGTTATGTCGCTTATCGCTGGTTGAGAAACAGATGTTTGTCTTCTGCTTGTGTTTGCAACACAACAGATGTTTCTTCATTGGCTGAAAACTGCTTCTGTGATACAGTTGTTTGATAAAGCAAACTGAATTGGTTCTGTCATGAAGTGCTTGAGTCACAATATGTGTGACCTTAATGTTCAGCAGTGGAAGCTGAATTATTTGTCAATGTAAGAGCTGCACTAAACGTATATCAACAGCAGCATATTTTAGAAACCAAATTAGTGCTTTGACCTGCTTTACAATGTCTAAGGTATTCTCAGTGTTTTTTTAGTGTACAGTTGCTAGATTTGGTTACTGGCCCAATTCAAAAACACTTCCTTCAGTGTGGTTGGGACATTTTAGCGCATTTTTTCAATTGCTTTGAGAAGAAATAGCAACTTTTTTCTGTCATAATTTGAGCTATAATTCATGTCTGTAGCATAATGTTCACATTTATGCAAACCTCTAACCCATAGTATGCGCATTGATAACAGTGTTGCTTGCTGCAAACACTAATAAGCCCAAACACTGCAATAGCGTATGTGCATGTCAATTTTATTCAATCTCTGCACCATCAAATCACTGACTGATGTGTTCAGAGTTTTGTTTTTGCTCATTTAGTTTCAGTTTGGCTGACTGCGGGTATGATTTTTTACCACAATATTGCAAAGGCATTTCGATACCCCCTCTGTACCCAAACATATTGTGATTAAAACTAATAATGAAGTGCCAGGTCATGATATGATAGTACATATGCCTCTAATGCCCACAGATGGGCCAAAGGGTGAGAGAAACGGAGCTGGAATGCACTTGGCCACAGCTGTCATTTATTAACTATGTGGACTTGATGAACCCGTTGAGTACTGGTTCACTTCCTGTTGGACAGCTAGAGTAGAGTTAGTCTGAGACATTGACACAATCCAAGAGAATACAAACACAGCTAATGGGGCCATTAAAAGATTTCATTTTTTATTTAAATTACACAGGACTGTCTGATAAGGATTATATATATATATATAATGGTATAGTGGAGTGGAGTTTATAAATATTCATATATATTCATTAATGTATTTATATAGTATGAGTTACATTTTAGTAGTGCAGGATGAAGCTGCTAGAATCACGTTTCAAGACTGTGCATTTTTGCATATTTGACAATAAAAATTCCCAAGACGCTTCTATATCTTACCATGCATTTTATGAAATTATGCATATCTCAGCCATTGCAGCTTCAGTCTGCAAACCCAAATGTATAGCCTCAAGATGCATTCACGCTGAAGTAGCTTGCACAAATCTCCAGTCTCTATTATTTCTTTGAATATAAGTGTCATGATGCTTACTGCTGCGGTTTTTGTATTTTACCGGAATCTTCTGCTTTGACGGACAGATGAAAGAGGAGCTGTGACTCTTATCCTCTGTTTGAAGTAGGTCATCAGCTGACTTGGGTAAAAGTAACCCAGCTGAATATGAATGCAGGAAACCAGCTGCGTAGTAAGCAGTAAATGCGTAGGGGTTTCAGTATGACATTTGGGTTACATTTAACCCTGATAAACTCTTTGGTCGCGCTCTCTATGACACATGAGGTTCATGCCGTTATTTCTAGTTTTCGTAGTAGTTCAGTTAAGGTACAAGATACAGTAGTGTGAATGTAGTCACAGCTAAAGGACATTGTTAAAGGAATAGTTCACCCAAAAATGAATGTTTGTTGAAAATGTACTCACCCTCAGGCCAACCAAGATGTCGATGAGTTTGTTTCTTCATCAGAACAGATTTGGAGAAATTTAGCATCACATCACTTGCATCCTCTGCAGTGAATGGGTGCCGTCAGAATGAGAGCCCAAACAGCTGATAATACAGAAATAATCCACATGACTCCAGTTCATCAATTAAAGTCTTGTGAAGTTAAAACCTGCGTCTTTGTAATAAACTATTCTATCATTAAGGCATTTTAACTTTAAACTAGTGTAGCATTTGGAACAATCAGACACACCATTTTTCATGAGATTTAACAAATCAATTATTCATTAGATTAACAAATAGTCACAGACCCCTCACCCAATAAACATACTGGGTGCCAGGATGTCTGTGAACTACAGCAGGCCCCTGGTTACCATGGCAACCAGGACCCCTCAGCCAGATCAGATATACTTTTACGACCTAAAAGGATGTAGAGATAATCTTCCTCCTACTAAGTTCTCTCTAAATGCCCATAAAATGGACTCTTCTCTAATTAATTCATAGGAAAACCTTTCTTTGAATGAACACACATATACTTCAGGTCATTGTGTATGTTGTTACTGTTCTTGTATATTGTCTTATGTATTGTATACTGTTTTATGCATGCTTATGATAGGACCACTCGTTCATGTAATCTTACCTATATGTAATCTTACCATGTTTAGTATCTATGAATTTGTCTTCTGATGATCTAAACTAGGGCTGCACGATAAATCGCATGTGATATTTAACGCGCATCTTGTCAGAAAAGCCGGTTCTGTAATCAGCGGTCAATCTCCATCTAGTGTTGTCACGGTACCAAAATTTCAGTATTCGGTACCAGTACCATTGAAAATCCACGGTTCTCGGTACCAATAATCATAATTAACTGTAATTATTTATATACATTTCCCTTTTGAGCTAATGTGCTACACTAGGGCTGTCAGTTTAACATGTTAACGTAATTAATTAGTTATGAAAAATAGTGCGGTTAAAATATTTTAATGCAGTTAACGCACTGGCCCTGCCCCCAGACCTGTACGTCATCTTATATTTCATACAGTTGACTGCTGACAAATATGATGCAGGGCAACAACTTGATCTCTATAAATGCAGTTATGCCCTGAAATTCAAGATATTTGGGCAAAAAAATGCCCCTGTATGAGTTTTTGTCTCATATTTATATCACATAAGCGATATCACACGAGCAGCAAGAGCAGTATCACACGAGTGCTGTATTTGTCACGAATAGCACGAGTGCAAATGTGATTTTACACAACAGTTCAATAAATAAGTTGTTAATATTGTGTAATATTTTAAACACTG